AGACTTTGGTATAGCAATAGAGATTTTGCCAACAAATGTGACGGCATTAATCTTACAATGTAAATTTTTTTTAACGCTAGGATTACAAGATGCATTGACATGCTTAAACAAAGCACTAGATATTGAACTAATGATTCGCTGGCATTATTCTATCGCGGTGAAATTCACTTAAACAAGAAAAATATGATAGTGTCCTTAATGATTTAAGTATTAAAAATTGTGTTAGATTTGTGCCTGCGTTAATTCTTCGTGGAACAGCTTATTTCAGTCTAAGAAAAGATGATAAAGATTTTAGCAAAGCATTTGAATTGAACCAAGTAATGAAACGACGATAAAATATTTAATAGACGCTTTTAATGGGTATAGCTTTACATCATTGAAAAATTTTGTAGTAAAAAATTCTAAAAAATTTGAAATAAATAATAAACAGCAATTATTCTTTGTGGAGAAGAATATTTTATGCGTGGAAAATTCGAGTATTTACTTTATATTTAAATGTATCAGAAATTAGTCCAAATAATAAAACAGCATTGATACTTAGTGCGAAAAGTTACTTCGTTTTAAAAAATATGAGGAAGTCGTTAGGCATTTAAATGAAGTACTGAAAGTTGAGCCAGATAATGAAATTGATCTATTTTATCGAAGTGAAGCAAATTTTAAATTAGGACGACACGAAGAAAATCACTTAAACATAGAAAAAATAGCAAAAATTTAGAAAGAGAATTTAATAATGCATTTATTTATATAACACTGATATCATTTTCAAACTTTGACAATTCAGCAAAGCTATTTTAGATCTTGATATTACAATAAACATTAAGCCATATGATATGGAAATGTTTATTCTCCGTGGAAAGGCTTATTTCTTTCTAGAAAAATATAATTTAGCACTTTTTGATTTTGTCAAAGCGTTAGAGTTTGAGCCAAAAAATTATTTATACTACTGTATATTAATGAAATTTTTGATAAGTCATTATTGCTGAAAAATAATCCATTATTCATTAATTTCGATATTGAATAGCATAAATATAATACTGTATATGTCTTCAATATCAAAAATCTGATAAAACGTTAAATGCTTATGGAAGTTATTTTCTTGGCAATTGATATTGTAGTGTAGTTGACGTCAAGAAAAAAAACGGAAAACGTTCATTCATTTTCAAAAAGCCGCGATGATTGGTTCTGCAAGAGGAATGAGTGAAGTTGGACATTTCTATAGAAATACGTGAACCTGATGAAACATTGTTGGAATAAAGATCCAGAAAAACGACTATCTGCAATGAACTCTGTAAAGTTTTTGAAAAATGTTGGGAAGAAAATTAACTTCTAACAGAATTAAATAAATCCAAACTAATAATACCTGAGTATATCAGAAACTTTTTTGATGTAAATGTAAATTATGGTAGCAAACTAATTAGTTTATATGATTGAAATCAAAAATATATTTTATCTTGTAATAGTGATTAAAATTATATTTCAGTCAATTCTGAGAATTTTACCTAATTAAAAATAATGATAAAGTGAAATCAGCCTATTCACAGTTTTAAATAGAATTTAAATGCCATGGCTATAATAATGTTCAAGGTAAGGAACAAGAATATTTTTACAGGCTATTTACTTTTTGGTACTGTAATGTGACGGTTTACGAGGATACACAATGTCATAAAATAACGAATCCACTAAATTTCTTATAGGTGTTAATAACGCGGATGCAAACCCAATTTTGAGTTTGATTTATCGATAGTTTCAAAATGCCATTATCAAAATAAGATACTTCAAAGGTTTTTGGCGTAAAAAAAAATGTAGATAGTATAAAAATATGAAATACAAAAGTTTAATTATTATAAAGACTACTATGTATTGTAAGATACAAATATTAAAAGCGAAGACTGTCTTGTTTACAAAACCTAGATCGTCATAATTTTACATTACATGTGCCGCAACTTGCATATCTCTTAATTACTGAATTATCCTGAAAATATGGATTCCATTTAAGGTTAAATAAATTTAAATACGGAATTTAAATCCACTATTAAGGAATTTGCTTGTGGCCCTTTTTGGTAACTTGCTTTCTGACGCTCTTGTATATGAAAAAGTGTAGGTGTTACAATCACAATCACAACTAGGGACGTTATCCTACTAGTCTGAACTCGGTTCGACCCTATATGAACCTAAACTAATAAATTCGAGATTGAATAAGCAAATGCTTTAATTATAATTTAAACCTTTTAATTACTGTCATTAAAAAAAATAGTCTTTTTTTTTTATCCTTCAATCATTATGGCAATACGTTAATGTAAAATAACCGTGATATTATCAATTGCGAGAAGTTATTATTCAAAAAATATATTAAATTTTACAAATGTATATTCATGTATTTGTTCTAACGAATGGTAATGGCAAGTTTTTTTATCTTGCTCAAGAAAGGTTTTTCTATCTTGCTCAAGCAAGCATAATTATTAATATATTTGTATAAACTGAGTCTGTGAATAGGTTTTACAGTATATGCTTTGAAACCGTGTTCCAACGGATTTTTAAGCATAAACTAGCCCGTTTAAGCAGGATAACATCCCTAGTCACAACTCTCTAAGTGCGCTACCCTCAAGACCATAGTGAAAAAAAAATTAAAATATGTATTTATAGAGGGTGTGCATTTATAGAGAGAAACATATATATACCACTTATAACACTTATAATCGGGACCAGACTATACCGTGCATTTAGAAAGTTTTACATAGCCCGTGAGTTATGACTGTAGGTGGTGAAACGTAAAGTGTGAAGTACATGAGGCTTGCTTTGTTCTTCGGGTTTATTATTGCGATGAAAAATAGAATGAAAATAAAAACTTGACAGAAAAAAAAGAGAAATATGTCATACCTTGAAAATTTTCTCTACCGAGTATTTCAAGAGATTTTCTTTATTTTGCCACGTGATTTGCATCAATAAATTGAATTTGTGTTCCAAAATAAGTCATGGCGCTTATAGACGGGTGGCTTAGCATAAGTCACGTGTGCTGTGCTGCAATTAAACTTCGATATTTGGAATCTGAATACAGAGAAATCTCCCTAAATGCATCCTATTCGCATTTAGAGAACAAAGAAAAATTGTGCTAAAACAAAGCATTCAGGAAGCTTTTTCCGTGTCGGAGTTTTTAAACAATTGTATCACAGCCACGTAATATATAGCTAAGCCACCCACATATAAGTTAAGCGGCTTATTTTGGAACACTAGAGAATATACATAAAGAGTTAAAGCTGCAGTATGCACTACTCCCGCAATATGATTTCATTAAACTAATAAAGTTTGAAAATAATGAAAATAAATAAAACATTAAAAATTGAATTCATCGGAGTTGCCTGGTAAAGAATTAAATCGGAATTCCTTGGTAAAGAATCAAATTTAGCATAGTTTGAATTAGAAAGCTGATGACATGATTTAGAGGTTTTCATTACGTATTAACCTTAATATCTATAGCCAAGTTTTTATGTTTCTCAATCGAAGCCTTCCAATATTAGGGTCGAAAATTATCATTGATTAATTTAGTAATATTTTGCGCCCATGGGCGTTATTTAGAGACATATAGTTTGAAGAAAGCTAATAATCTACTTAGCCAGATACCTTTAATAACAAACATTATGATTCTCACTCGGACAAATTGTTTATGAGATTCCTTCAACCCATTTTCCGAAATAACGTTCATGGGCGTTATTTCGCGCAAATAAAATAGTTAATTTTCTGAAGCGATGTAGTTCCGAAATTCAACTTTTTCAACGCAGGTATCCATTGTCCCTAATATAGATGTGGCTGGAATGGGTAACGCAGAAAATAAAGATAATAAAATAAAAAGGAAATGATGGAACCAACATACATCAAATAGAGTTACACCAATTAAGGAATACATTGGAGATACACAATAAAGATTTTGCTTCAGTACAACAATGCTAAGTGTATTAAGAAGGTTAATACCATAATGGATCCTTTTAATTTTATATAAATATGAGTGTTGCAGAGTAAAAACTTGAAATTCAATTACAGTACAGGTCTTCACTCTGTAAAACTCATTCAAACAATTAACAAACTTATATTCATAAAATATGACAACCGAGACTTCTCAGACCCAAGAAATTGTAACTAAACTTGATAATTACGTTCCACTGGGTTCTAGTGGATTAAAAGTATCTCCAATATGCCTCGGGACAATGGTAAACTATACTTTGTTGAATTAAAATTGTTGATATCTTTTATCGATTAATTATTTAAAAAGAAATGTGATAATTATTGATATTTTTTTCATTCAATTATTATATTAGACATTTGGGCAGCATGTAAGCTTCACATTCTAGATTATATTGGTTGGATACATTTAAAATTTTGAATATTAATCGATTACAAATTTTTCTATTTATACAAAGGATAATGATGATATTAAAATGTCTAAGAAAGTGTTCGACAAATATTATGAACTTGGTGGCAATTTCTTTGGTAAATAGAAAGTAAATTAAATTATATGAACTTTGAAAGATTACCGCTGTTCTCATAAATCTTGGAAAAATTTGATGAAGCCTCCTTGGTTTCGCTCTATAAATTAGCTTTTCAGAAATTACATCACTATCTCCGGACTAAAAGTTTCGAGGATAGTAATTCCCAAACAGTTTAGTGATTATTAGTGCAAAACTGAAAAAATTCTGCAAATGAGCAAATTTTTAAAATTTATGAGAACAACTAGACATTTTAAATACGCAAATCATTTTAATACTATTTTTAATACTATTTCACTTTAATACTATTTTCAGCTGCATCGAATTTTGGAAACGGCGAGGTCAGTTACAAACCCAACATATTTATTTGTTAGCATTATTTTCTATGTTTTTTAAATATTCTTAATTCTTTCAGAGTGAAAGTATATTGGGCCAATACATAGCCGATAAACGATCAAGAGTCATAGTTTCCACAGGATATACAAGTGAGTTTTAAACTGAAAGTTCCTATACGATTCATTTTTTACACTTTACTGATTACTCAAATTATTCAAACTTTCAATCAATTTTAATAGCTCATCCGGAAGTTCAAGATCCAAAGAATCCTAATTTAGGTTAGTATGAAATAAAATAAAGTCCATCATTATAATTAAAAATTCTGCATCTTCATTTAACGATGTTTTTCCATTAAAAATTATAAGGTGATCCAAACCGAAAAAGTCTTGCGGAAAATCTTAATGAAAGTCTGAAACGGTTGGGTGTTGGGTATGTCGACATTTTATACACCAGTATTGATTACCAGAACAATATCGAAAACATATTAAGAGGATTAGACGATGTGGTTCGAAGCGGCAAGGTATGTACATATATTTTTTTTTCATAATTCAAATTGTTATCTGTGGTGACATATGTAAATAAATTAAATCTATCAAAAGGCACTATACGTCGCAATAACTAATACACCAGCATGGGTCGTCAGCGAAGCAAGCACGATTTCTCACTTTCGTGGGTGGAGGTAAATAGAACTTATTCCAATTAGAATTTGGAATTGGTTTTGATCGGTTTTTAATATAAAGAAAATAAACCTAGGTCAAAACTCTAGTCCCATTATAATATATACATACTATTTATACACATTATTTATTTACTTTTTATTTTGAATAGTGAATTTGTTGCATTATCAACACCATATAGTCTGACCGATCGTTCGTTCGAGTTTGATCTGCAACCTATGTGTCTGAAGCATAAAGTTTGTTAAATTTTTTTAATTTTTAATTTCGTGCAATTTAAATAATAAGGTTATAACTATTATTACCATATAAAATAGATTGGTGTTATTCCATATAATACTATTTCTTCTGGGTTAATATTTTATATTATTCTTTAGTGATTTTTTGAATTTATTTCAATAAGCTCATCAAAAACGCTACTCTTTTAAACTCGCATTCATTTTTAAAAATATAGTTTCTTGTCTAACAGATATTCCAAAGATTTCCTTGCTTCTGATCAGGACTTCCCTACCAAAAAAATCGTTTTAGAGTATGCTGAGAAGGAAAAAAATTGGAGAATCCTTGAGGAAGTTGTTCGGATTTCTAAAGAAGTCGGGAAAACGCCTTCTGAGGTAATTTACATTAACAAATCACTTCAAATTACTTTTTTCGTAATTTATATTAATGATTGCACTTTTATAAATTTGCATAGGTTGCAATCAACTGGGTTCTTCAACAACCAGGAATCACATCTATAGTAGCAGCTGCAAGAAACGTAGAAATCTTGGAAGAGAATATAAGTGCATTAGGATTTAAGTAAGTTTATTTAACCTTACAGAATTTTATGATTTTGTATAGTTTGTTTATTGTTTCTTTTTATTAAATAATTCATAATTTATTCTAGACTTACTCCAGAACAACTTTCTGCTCTAAATGATATCTCTTTACAAAAAGAGATTCCTTCCACACAAATTCCAAAGCCTAATCCGTTATTCCAAGCCTCTAAACCCGATCCTGAATATATCAAAGATTTGAAGCCACTTCGAGAAACCTAAAACTACAAATATTGAGTAGGATAAATGAAACAATCCTGGCTTTATTTTGCTATGAATAGATAGTTATATGATGCGCACAGCTTAATATCATCAAATTTATTTAACCTATATGGAGTGTGGAGTGTCACGCATTAAAAGGGTACATAAATATAAAAATTTTGAGATCTACAAACAGAAACAAGATTTTTTTATTTAAAGATTATTTTGTAAGTTTTTATTATATAATTGGCTTTTATAATTTATAGAAAATTTTTTATTGAACATATATCTATTCAAAAATCATTTAAATTTTTTTTACAAAATTGTTAATGTGAGCCCTTTTAACATGAGGCGCTCCATATATTTTATTAAAGAAACAGCAATCAAATCTTAAATTTTTGTATTTTTTCCACGAATTACAAATCACATTTTTAAAAATTTGTATAAAGGCTTGTTAAAATACAGTATGCAGCATTTTAAAAAAAATTATTACTGAAGTTCTATGAATCATTGGTCTTAAATAGAAAGACGAATTTCTCCTTATACTTGCTTGGTGACAAAAGACGAAATATTAAATTGAATTACAAAAGGCGAAAACCTGGTGAAATCTAAAAAAAAAATAGCTGAGATAGCTGATCTATAATCAGCGAGCTGTTTCCATGATGTCAAAGTGAAACACAAAAAGTGCTGTCTATATTAAAAGTGTTAGTTTTCGTATCTATGTATTACTGTATATTTATATAGTAAATTCAAATTTAGACATGGAGACAATAATGCACTAGTTATTTATAATTAATTATAACTGTATAGGATTTCCAAAATAAATTTAATGCCGCTATAATAGCTAAATAGATCTTAGATTTTCTGAATATCATGATTTGAATCAATTTTATAATACTAGTATTTTCTTTGGAGTTTTAAATAGTGTTTTGTGTAGGAAGAACAATAGCGCATTTAATCTTATGTATAAATTTTTTCTCTAAATAATTAAATATATACATACAATATATAATATTAATATATATTAAGTAATAATGTTAATATTAAATATTTCTAATAAAAGTAATAATGTTAATATTAAATATTTCTAATAAACAATAAACTGAAATAGGTAAAATTTTCTAAAATATCAAAAATGACAACTTCGGTTATCATGTAAATGAAAAAAAAAACAGTAATAGCGCATATTTAATTAAAATTATGCATGATGTTAAATATCGGTCTAATTAAAAACATGGTGCAAAATCATATACAGTAGTGAATTTCAATAATGAGGATTTTTGCCTCTTAATAGAAATATATAGAAAATTTAACTCCTCACAACATGCTCTTTAAATTAATAAGTCATTTTTCAATTTTACACGCAAGTTAAAAGCAAATCCATTTGTTAAAACCTAATTAATTCTAATTAAAAAAAAATAGCACTATTCCCTTACAGCTTTAAAGAGCATGCCGAGAGGAATTCAATAAACATAATTTTATCTGCATAATCCGGAAAATATAAAATTTTACATATATTTACTATTAAGAAGAGTAATTGACAAAAAAACCTTTATATGATTGGTGATTAAACCGATTATTGTTACACGGCTGGATTACATGACGATTGATCATGTGAACGTAAAGTGAATCACGAGACTCACGGGACTCACGGGACTCAGAAAAAAGATCGTAATCGAAAAGAACGATAATTATAAATTCATACGATTCGGAATCGTATAATATTATTTATTATCAATAGTCTTCGTGCAGTTATCAGTCATGATATTAGTTTGGATTATTGCTGTTTTCAAATCAGTGCAATAGGCGAATTCCGTAATTCCTACGAATCCCGAATCTACCATTGTGTAATATATGGGATTCATTAGGATTCACAGAATTCACCTATCGCATGATTCGAAAACAGCGATAATGAAAAGATTTGAAATACTATATTGTTCACGTGTTTTAATAGAATACTTGATTTATACTCTTAACAAAAATAGCTCAAAGAATATAAAAACAATTAAGCATAGCAAAATTTAAGGAACTTTAAAACAATATAATAGTAACAATTCACGCATCATTTATCGCAAATATTCTTACGCCCTTAACATTAAATCTAGATTAATCATAAACTATGGTAATCTAATGTAAGCAAGTGATTATGAGCAAACAAATGTATAAATTAATAAATACCTGAATCTTAGGTTGTAATATCCATAAACTGTATTAAATCTAACTAACCATAATTATATATAAATAAAAAAATACTCGAATTGATAAGGTTATCTTTCTATTAATAAATAATAAGTTAACGCAGGGTTGTGAATAGACAATAGACAAGCCAATAGACTCAATAGACAGTCTAGTGGTCTAATAGTGTCTAATTAAGT